GTATCTGCTTAAAACAAATCTCTTAATCGATCCAAAGATATTTAACAAATAAAAACAACAGCATTTTAAAGATTTCCAAATTTTTGTTAAATCTGACAATTCAGTCAGCCGAAACGACGATAAAATAATTCCAAACTGTTTCCGAATCATTTGAACGTTAGTATTGTTATTCAGTTAGACAGAGGAACAGAATAAAAATAGAGAATGTATGCTTCGTCTTCTGTATATAAAAGTCGATGCATTTTTATTGAGAAATAACCAAGCTGATAGACACAATCCAAGTTATAACCATAGTTATAAGTTGTTACAATTCGTGATACCGCGTATAAGATACAGTATTGTTGAAACAACGCGGACAGAATAAAACTGAGGGAAATAAATTGCTTTCGATCGAAGGAGACACGACGAAGTGAATGGGATGTGAGAGGGTACAACGGAAAGATTTTTCTATAATGCAAAATCTGATTGTAGGTAAAGACGTGAATAAAAAGAAGTAATCCGCAGGAAGTGACAAAAGAGTGTGTACGATCTGCTTTCCGCGATAAAGTTTCAAGTGGAAGGTTTTAAGAAGCGTATAAAACTGGGCTTCAAATGGCATATTATCTTCGGATGAGTTTAAATCCCAAAGGAAACTTTTATTTTTCGTTCGAGTATTTTATTAATAGAATTCCAATGTATGTTTCTCGTTTCTATTGCAATATCTTGTCGAGTTTATTCGATGCTAAAAAAAAAAAGTTTGTTTAAAATTCTTTTAGAAAAATATCGCACGCAAAGCGGGAGGGTAATTTTGACTTTGAAAAATCTGTATTTCAAGTGCTCTATGATAAATAATTTTGCATGAAACTTTGCGGTAAATATCGGCGCTTCCTCGGGACGCTTTTTACGTATTAAACCAGGAACGAAGTTTTGAAAGTTTTATGAACTTATGGCCCTAGATACTCCTGCTTTTCATTGAAATTTGTTTTTAAAAGAGTTTAAAAAGACATTTTTCCGTTCATCACCTGGAATACACAGTTTACTGTCTTTTGACCCAAAAACCGTACACAGCCAGCTACTTTATATCCTTCTCTAAGGTACAGTTCATAATGCAGATATTGGGAACATTTGCAGGTAATAGATTACGTGTACCAATTAATTCGGTCCCTTTTTTCATAAAGTCTCCGATAGCTTCATCGACTAAAATCGGCGATAAACGAGAAAAGCTCGTCCAAAATAATGGAGATTATTCTGAACATTAAAATCGTGTTTGATTTTTAGTAAATAAATATTGAAGTTTGTGAAAGAAGGCAGAAAATTAGCTTGTACACCTAATAAATATATCTTTTAAAAGCATCTATTTCATTTACGTGTTCCTTCTTGTAAGCGTAATTCTATCTTTTAAAAGACCGTATAATTCGAATTTGTACAAAAACGAAAATGGAAACTCTGTTAACTTAACCCTTTGCGGTCCAAATAGTCCAGTTAGTCCGCACTCTTTTGGCCATTCTCGGGCAGTACCATATAGTTTTCCTTTATTTACTAGTTATAAAATGCGAAGTTTCAGTATAATATTAATGCATAAAAAAATGGTTTATTATTATTTGTAATTTATCATTATATGATATCTGAAGGCAAAAATTCTTATGTCGAGTCTGACTCGACGTAGGACCGCAAAGGGTTAACATTTTGTTAACAGTAAAAATATAGGTGTGCATATTTGCAGTCAGCAATGCTTCAAATAACAAAGTACACGGCTTCATAATTTTAGAAAACGTCCGGAGAATTACGTCTACAGATATTGCAGGAAAACGAAAATGTGCAGAACGTTCTATCTTTAGAAATAGATTAAAATTTTTCATTTTCTCTCTTTGTAACAACACTTTCATCCTGATGAATACTTTTAATTTGTAAAGCTCTCTTCTACTCAGTAAAATACTAGTAAGCCGTAAGTACATATAACCGCGTAATACAAAGAAGAATCTGTCGTTAATCATCGTGATAGTAAAGGCATTAATATGCAAAGTTTGTTTTATTAATGGAGATAAATAATCGCAGCTAGCGGTGTAGATGAACAGATTAAATGAAAATGCAGTTTGTGGGGAAACGGAGGTTTAAGAGTACAACTTAAGCAAGACGAATATGCTCTGTGTGAAAATTACCTGTGCACGCGAGCTCGACAAACTACATCATATTGCTATTCTTGGCAGCATTGCTGGACATCTTGAACTCTGATGGTGTTCAGAGCCTGTGTTGTGGTTTTTTGACGTTGGCCAGTGTGCCGAAATAGTGTCCTTTAAAATGTTTCTTCAGCTTGAGGAACAAAAAGAAAGTCACATGGAGCTAAGTCTGGGCTGTAGGGTGGATGTGGAAGGACTGAGATTTGTTTTTTAGCCAAAAACTCTCAGACAGCCGGTGAAGTGTGAAATATGATTCGGTGCGTTATTATGACGAAGGATCCGACGAGGTACTTTCACAGGATAGCACAATAACGAACGTTTCGAAACCGAGAGGGAACAAACGCGACGAAAAAGTGTTTTGCCATATACCTAACACCCCAACGTAAGTAACTTCACCTCGCCACCACACCAGAGAGAGCCCAGAGGAGCGTAAACTTTTCATTCGCATTACTTTCCGGATACATCACGTACAACCTGAGAACTCCCATTTGTCAGTTCGGCCTCGTAATGTAAATAGTGTATTTATTGCAATTGAATTCCTTGACTCTCTGAAAACCTTGGAGCAGCGATCGATGAATATAGCGAACAATTTGGTCAGGATATTTCTGACATGAAAAAATGATATCAGCGTAAACAAAGCCTCAGCATACCTGGCCTGACTATTGCTGGACTCTCAAGCGATATAGCAAATGAAAAGTACCGGGGAAAATCGATTGCTATTTCTCGCTAGATAATTATTTACCCTTTATTGTATAAGTAAAGAGAACCAGAAACACGTTTGAATTCGACAGAGAATATATTAGAGGAGTCACCTATAACATTTTAGATGAAAATATAATTTATTCCTAATTCCTTCACCTTGATCGAAAATGAATTCTTTTTTATTGTTCAATGTAGTAATCCGTCTAAATACCTTGAATATTGAAGAATCTAACAGAATTCCAAATTTATCGATTATCAATTCGACTGTTGTTTATTGTAAGAAATTTCAATCAACCTCGGCTGTGAACGAGAGTATCAAACACATTTAATATTCGAAAATGATGGGTAATTGTATGATTGATTGATCAGTTAATCGCAGGTGAATAAATAGATAAATGAGTTAATGTAGGACAAAGTACATGTAAATAGGGGATAAGTGAGGAAATCATTTATCCAGATGAATGAAGCGATAAATGAAAGTTAAAATATAAGAAAATGGAGCAAGATAGAAAGACAGAAGAAAGGTTAGTGAGTGAGTGAGTGGGTGAGTAAGTGGGTGAGTGAGTGGATGAGTGGGTAAGTGAATGGGCGAGTGAGTGGATGAGTGGGTAAGTGAATGGGTGAGTAAATGAGTTTGTGAGTGAGTGATTGGGAAAGTAAGTAAGTGAGTGAGTCAGTGAGAGGGTTGGGGGAGGGAGAGGAGAGAGACAAAGTGAGTAAGAGAGAGGGGTGAGGGAGAGGGAGGGGAGAGGGAAAGGAGAGAGACAAAGTGAGTAAGAGAGAGGGGAGAGGGAGAGGGGGAGGGGAGAGACAAAGTGAGTAAGAGAGAGAGGGGAGACGGAGAGAAAGTGAGTAAGAGAGAGGGGAGAGGGAGAGTAAGAGAGAGGGGAGAGGGAGAGTAAGAGAGAGGGGAGAGGGAGAGTAAGAGAGAGGGGAGAGGGAGAGAAAGAGAGCTGCGCGTGCGTAAAATTTCGGGGTAGCTGGAACAGCGATAGCGTCGCGGAGACATTAGCTTCGCCGACGTCGGGGCGCACTATCATTTCCGTGGTACGGTATCGTTCGTTTCTTCAATTCTTCGCTTGTTGCATTTCACAGTGTGGCTTCTGTCAAATTTAAACGCTTTACAATCAAACTTGAACGATTAAAAATTAAAGAGCTAATTACACGCATGAACGGAAGTTGATCGTAGGTGTTTCAGTTTTATATTTTTTCTAATTCCGTTTCGCTATTAAGAATTACAGCACCAAACAAAGCTGTAGAACTTTCCATCAACGATACGTTAAACGTCTACACTATATAACGATTATAAAAAAAGAAGAGAAATATTTTGGTGTTTTTTTTCATTTTTTCTTTAATTTTATCGACAATTAAATTCGTAAGTTAAGTGTTGAAACCAAAAGGAGTAACGCTAACGATAACTTTCCGAGTTAATTGAAGAATACACAGCAATGTTCTTCAGTCGCCACGGGAACAATTGAAAAGAAACATTCCCGATGAGATCCACGAACTTAAAGGAGCATCTCTCGAGAACTTGTAAACGATAATGGAACCAGCTTGAAAGAGACACTTTCTTACAAGTCAGACATGAAGTCTGAAGAAACTCTTTTCGAGCATGGAACATGAGAATGTAAAGAATTTTTAAACAATTTACAATTTCTTTCCCGTGAATCTCGAACGGATCGAGAAAAGAAACAAACAGAATTAAGTATACACGATAATACGAAGGCACAAAGAAGTATTCCAGGAAAATACAAAAAGATACTTCTCTCTCTGAGCAATTACACAAATTTCATCCAATGATACTTAGAGAGAAACACTTTTCATTTTCATTTCTCGTTCGGAAGCGATAAAAATTAACAGCAGAACTTCTCGAAGAAGAAACATTCGTGGATTATGCTAAAGTATGATACTTTTCTTCGAAGATCTCATCCTTCCTCCCTTTCTATCCCTCTCTGAGGATTAGATTGGTCTCGCGAGGAGTTGGCTCAGAACAGGATATTCGAACATCGAAGATTGCCAACTACATGTCGTTAGAACAATTACACCTTGAAAATTGTTCGACGAGCGAGTTACAGTGAAAGCCATTGACAAAACCAGAGGAAAGTAGAAGGATTAAGAAGAACAAGTGTATTTCAAATAATCATGGTTTCTCAAGTTTGCGATTTATCGTCGTTTCACTCGCGTTACACGCATCTACACGGCTGGATCTCCATGTTTGTTTGTATTTTCGGCTCGATCGCGAACGTTTTGAACATTCTCGTGTTAACTCGACGAGAAATGCGATCACCGACCAATATCATTTTAACGGGATTGGCCGTGGCAGATTTACTTGTAATGATCGATTACATTCCCTACGCGTTTCACCTCTACCTATATCGACGATCTAGAAGAGACACCTTTACTTACGGATGGACGATTTTTGTGCTCTTCCATTCGAATTTCGCTCAGGTAATAGGCAACTTTTAATTTCAACCTTTCTTTATATCAATTTTCAATGTCAATATAAACAATTTCAATTCTATCGTTCTCTTTTCGTTCGAACTGTTATCAGAAGAAAAGCTAGAAGAAACGGGGAAGAAAGAGACCGACAACGTCTCTTTGCAAAGTTGAACATTTTTTTCTTTTTTTTTGTTCTTTGTGCATTCGATATATTCGCTCGTTTTACCTTGTATCTTTTTTGCTTTACCTTATGCCCGTTCTTTTAAGTGAGATACAATGGAAAAATGTGCTATTGACCTATAACGTCATTTTGGTATTTACGGTTGACCACATTCTTGCTGGATCACCGTCGTTTCCTTGCTTTGTTTGATGAGGATTGACCTACATGTTTAGACACCAATCAATTCAACATACTCGTTCCACCTTCTTCTTTAATTAAAGACCAAACTGCAGTTCAATAAGAAGTAAATTTACCTTTCCTTTATTTCACTTTTATTTGATTTTCATTAAAGGCTAACAGAAATTGTGCCTTAACGAACGCAGCGAATGTAATACTGTACGTTAAATCCGAGATGAAATTCTGAAACGTTTCGCTGTTAATATGAATAAAACACACGATGCGTCGATGCTTGGAAATTTTCTTTTTTACGCACACACATACACACACGTAGATATGATTGTTTATTTGCTCGTTTAACTGTTTATCAATGCGAGGCAAAGAAAGAAGCAGAGCAATACGCATATACAAGTGATAATTAAAGATTGTTGGTTAAAAAAAGAGAGGAGGAAAAGAAAAAGTGAAATTAAATTCATGAAATTCCAATTAAATTTCCACAGGTCTGTCATACCATTTCAATTTGTTTAACTTTAATATTGGCCGTGTGGAGGTACATAGCGGTAGCAAGGCCGCAACAAAACAGAGAGTGGTGCAGTTATAGAAGAACTATTTTTGCGATTTTCATTGCGTACGTTTTCTGTCCTATACTGTGCATACCTTTGTACATTACAACGGAAGTGAAACAGCAAGTAGAAGTTCTAGATTCGAATGGAATGAGTGTGGATATTCGGAACGAAAGCTTGGCTGGTAAGTAGTATTTTACACTTTTCACAGGATAAGTAATTACAGGATAAGTTTCGATTACCAATTGCAGAATATTGCTTTAACGCTGTTTAATTTGAATAGAAAAGAAAATTTGACTACGTTCCTTTGTCAAACGTTTGGAACAATGAAAGCGCTTTGGTGTTCTGTTAGTTGCGGTTGTAAATTTTTCATTGCGAACCTTCTAATATTAAACGATTATGCGAGGTGACTTACATGAAGCATTATCACCACGCTTTTGTGGAAAGCATTTTTATACATTTACATATTTTTCATCTTCGTTAACCCTCTGGGTCTTTGACGACCCAAGTGAAGTTTCACTCCCGTATTTCTTTCGAATGAATTTTTGCTTTTATTGAAAAAAGTTTTCAACATCTGACTTAACGAACAGTCGTACAGTGTAGTAGAGACTTTGACAAGTAAGCCAGAATTTTTTCACATTTTTCGAAAGCTTGAAACAGTAATAAATTAGACTTGGACGCGTACTACACAGTTTGCCTACGGAGTGTGAAAAAAGTATCGAATTGAATTATGAAAATGTTGATAAAATGGAAAAAAAAGTTTTTTCAAATATCCTTAACCACGATAAAGTTAGCTTCTGTAGTAATAAAATGTAAAAATGTGCTCAAACAAATATTGTGTTCGTTTCGAAAAGGAATACGGGATGTTACCCCGGCCCTTAAATATGATCGTCTGACACAGTCTATGTTATATAAAGAATCCTAACGAGCAATAAAATATCAAGAAGGAACTTTTTACAAGTATTTGTAGCAATTTCTGTTGAATAATTTGTTACGCGTTATATCAGAACGATGAGTATCATGAAATATCAAGAAGGAACTTTTCAAATGTTAGAATAAATATCGTGCAAGTAAAATATGAAGTCTGAAGAAATTCTTTTCAAGCATAGAACACGAGAGTGTGAAGAATTTTTACATAATTTTCTATTATCAGGAATTTACAATTAATATGAGAGTGTAATGAATTTTTAAATAATTTTCAAGCGGTTAAAAAATTCTTCTTGCATACATCAAAAAACACAATAGCACGTGAAAGTGTACGAGATTTAATGTAGTTTAAAAAACAAATAAGTGAGTACACTTTTCTCACGACTAAACGTTATACACGATAGTTACCGGAAGTGGAAGAATTTGTCACTCTCGCTATTTTTCTACAATTAATTTCCTTTTTCTGTTTTAACAGTTTCAATTAACAAACATTTCACATAATAAGAGTGCAATTTTTTTCAATGTTCTTTTCATCTCTTAACACTAGAACTACCGACCGGGTCAAGATGACCCATTAGCATCTTTCGAAAAAACGTGAATGTTCAATACTGGTCAGAATTATCATTTGCAACTTTCCGAATTTATTTTCTACATGTATGCTTCTATTTGAATGGATGTGAATCGAATTTTCCAATCACGGTTCAGTTGCATAAAAATTCATTTTTGGAAAGTCACTAATGGGTCATTTTGACTCGGCTGGTAGTTCTAGTGTTAAGTTTAATATTTTCTTGATTACTGCAAAAGCTACAAATATGTAAAGTACCTTAAATATTTGAATGAAACTTTTAACTCGAACGTCATTTGGGCACAAACATTTCATCATTTATTCTTTTCCGATTCCGTTCCCTTCTAATTAAATTCGATTTTTCAGTTTCGCACCTCGGTGCGTTGTAATTAATATTGCAAAAACCTCGTTTAATTAATTAATAAAACTCGTCTGTTTTCAGATTCAACGGTGAGAAACACAACAAATACGACACTGTATTTTGTTCGATTGACAGAAACAGCGGAGAATCACGATATTCTGAAGGAACTAAATTTCTGGATCTATAGTGTTGTAATCAAACTTTTTCCTTGCGTTATTCTAACGATCGTCAGTTTGAAACTCCTGCAAGTTCTACTGGAGGCAAAACAACGAAGACGGAAGTTAACGACTGCTCACGAAGAAAATTTCGAAAGGAGAAAAGGCTGTCGAAGAGTGGATAAAGAGCGGCAAACAGATAGAACAACGATGATGTTGCTTGCAGTTTTACTGCTTTTCCTATTAACGGAATTACCACAGGGAATTCTAGGACTTTTTAGCGTCCTCCTGGGTCCAGGATTTTTTCACACTTGTTACTTGATGTTAGGTCAGTATTACAAAACTCATACCCTTCAAATGGTAGATTAACCCTTTCGCTACTGTTGTCGTCCGTAGATGCTTTGAAAATTAGCTCGCGCTGTGCCTTTGGCGCTATTTTGCACGCTTTCGCCTTAATTGAATCCGATATTTTTGTCCCTTGCACACTTTAAAAATGATACATATTTTACTTAAATTTAAAAAATTTTAAAACACCATCACAAAAGACTTTGCAGCCAGGATTGAACGTCTATCGTCTGCCACGATAAATTTATCGCAGTGAAGGGGTTAAACTGTCCCAAAACGAATTCTTCAGCTTTTCGGTATAAATTGTATGTCAACGAAACGCCTTTAAAACTTTCAAATTTGTGGTTTAAAATTTCACCAAACGTAAATTTTGTGTACGTATATTGCATTTAATTTGAAAGTTCGATTACAATTTATTATAATAGTATGTGATAAAAAATAAGTGACGATTTTATATCAGGAAAACTAATTTTTCTTATATGAAATAATTTTTCAATCTTTATCTGTAATAAGACTTTTTGGTGTTAACTGATATAAGAAAAATTGATTACATTTTTAAGCCAACTTTTGATATCTAGAAACTATAGAAAATTGCACAGTAGATAGATACGTATTGATTGAAATTGCAAATTACGATATGTATCACTGTTACAATTAATACCAGAAGGCAAGGAAAGATGAATCAGCTTCAAACAAACGTAGTGAACACGTGAAACAAATGTCTTTAATGTACACATATTTAATTTCTACATAAATTGCCTTTAAATATTCATGCATCGCATATGCAGAGTATTTTACCTGATTTAACAACTTCAAATTACTGCGTTTCCTACATAAACTATTCGCTATAGAAGGAAAAATATAGGAAAAGAAAATTTACGTGATTTTAAGGGGATACAGTAAATTCTCCACAAGTGTCAGTCTGCAAGGAACCTAAACCTGACACTTGTAGAGTCAGGGACTACGTTTTCGAGCCTCGCGCCCGCCTTTGTAGTTTGCCGAACGTAGACAAGGACAGCGAATAAAAGATAAGGATGAAACGTGAGTCGAGGCAACCAAGCGATTTAAATACCAACTTTTTTAATTTTACGTTCTTTTATCCCGAAATTTTTCTTAACATATTGATGAGATTTTTCTGATGAAAATGACATCAAACACGACATAATTTGAACAACATTACTTATTAACACGTTCACTGTCACGCCAGATATTCACTGTATTGAGATAAAACAGACGCCCTGTATTACATTACATAGAGTCGGCCTACCGTTTGACTGCCAGTTGGAGAATTGGCCTGCCGTTTGAATGACACTTGTAGAATCGGCCCTACATTTGACCGACACTTGTAGAATCGGCGAATTTACTGTATTCGTTTAATTTGAGTCATGAACAGCGTAATTTTTTTGGTTTTTCAACAAAAATATTAGATACATTAATATTATAGGTATAGACACAGTTTTTACTAATATATTTGTTTATCTTTAACGAATATTTATAAATTTTGATGTCAAAAATAATTAATACCTATTAACGAAGTCACAAGCCTGAAACCTTTCATAGTAACGTCCACTTTATTGATGTTAAACAATATAACAAAATGGCGGTGTATAAAAGCTATATATTTACCTAAGTATCCATTTATTGAGAAATCTTTCAACTTTAATTTATTACTGCAATAAAAATATAGCAGATATTTTTGTAATTCTTGTGTAGATGATAAAAGGTAAATTAATTGGTCAAGTCATTTTTGAAATAAACACCTTACAAGTTTTTCATAGGCTTTTGCACTATAATCGGAGCCAAATATATTAACTGATCACGTGGATTTCCCTTCCACGGATTTTCCACACCGTCGAACCCCATCAAGTGAGACCTCTAATATGTAGTAGTTTAACAGGTCAACGTGAAAGACACATAGCCGTATCTATTTCGTAACGCGATCTTTATTTTATTTCTGGAAGCAGTATACTCTCTTCGTCTTATGTCTCATGTAGGTACAGATCGGCAAAGCAAATTAGAGTCTAGAGTCTAGAATTGGGAGATGCAGGAAAAATTGTAATGTCTTTGCTGTCAATCAGCCAATAGTAATAGAGTGAGCTTACCCTAGTCACTCTTTCGTCAAAAACGATAGACGACGATCAGAAAGATAATTTTCGATGTTCAATGCAAAATTCACCAGTAGTTATTTTTATAATTTTCATTCTATCTTCGTGAAAATAGTACCAGTGAATTGGCGAGGGTCTTCCAATGAAAATGAGTACAAACACGACATAAATTGGATTAATCTTAACAGTAATCAGTTTTAAAAGCACCCTTGAAAATTCGGGGTACTTAAATTGATGACTGGTGAAACTAGTTCGATTTATGTCGTGTTTGGGCTCATTTTCATCGGGAGATTATCACCAATTCATTGTTATTATTTTCATAAAGATAGGATGAAAATGATTCATTGCATCATAAACGGTCGCGTTTCGACCGTCGTTACTTGACACACTACGCCTATTTCCAGAAGGCATATTGTCAAAAAAAGACAGACGAAAGAGGTGTATAGTTCGACCAAGCAAGCCTAAAATTTTTAACGTTTATGACTGTGCAAGTGATCGGAAAACTAGGCAGGCGAGTCATTCCCACTACTTTATGGTCCTAATCTGCCTTCGCTTGAGAGGAAGTTCTGGTGTAACTACATAGATAAGTAGTTTTCAACCAGCCGTCGGCAATGTCGTGCACCGATAAAAGAATAGAAAAATGAAAAGATTATCTGCCCGTCTAGCCTTTTTACCTATCAGCATAAAATACTCAAATACAGTAAACCGTTATTGGAAAGAAAACCTCAGGAAATGTATTAGTACTTTTAAGATTTTGAAAACTGCAAAGTAAACATTTTTCTGTTATTCCTGAATAATACAAATAGTCTTTTACGCTTTAAAATATTGCTTATAAAACCCAAAAGTTTATAGTAGAAATGAAAAAAGTATGCCACCATAAATCGACAGTCACCGTTTTCACACCAAGAATATCAGCACGTTACTCATCTCTAAATGTCGTTACGTCGAACGAGGCTCGATCGTCGTTTATCGTTGTTCATAGAAGAGTAAGTGTAATAACCTTACTCTATCATAATTGGTTCTCTATCAACGAAGACGTAACAAATTCTCCTCTATCTTCCACTTCCTAACCCTAACTTCTCCGTGAAACTTCAGGTTGCGTGGTCGACCTGTACCTACATAAAATACAACGTAAAGAGAACATATTGCCGCTAGAAGTAAAACAAAGATCGAGTTACAAAACAGTTACGCCTATGTGCATGTGACGTTGACCTATTGAACCACTACATATATAGGTCTCGCTTGGTACAGTTTGTCAGTGTGGAAAAACGTCAGAGGACAAATCCACATGACTGGCCAATACATTTGACTCCGAATATAAAAATAATGATGGAATGTGATGATACAAAGTATGTAGAATCATTTACTTAAAACATTGAATATATTCGATGTGATATTATTACATTATCCACAATTACTACTCATATTCACGAAATTTGTTCAAAATATTAATTTATTAAATACGATCGAGCCTCGAAGCTCGCATTTACGTAAAGTTGTAATATTTACCAATTTATATAAGTTTTATAATTTATGAATTACAATTTATATAATTATCAATAATTATTTAAT